TACCTATAAATAATAATAGGAATAAAAGTTTTACGCATTAATGCGTAAAACTTTTATTCCTATTATTATTTATAGGTAATCTTACCAACAATGGCTATAACGTTTATTTAACAAAGTAAATAAAGTAATACACAAAGAAGCAGCTTAACAGTTAAGAACTTTATTTGTAAATTAATTGTTAGCTGTAAATTTAATTAATTTGATTGCAGGGATTAGTGCAACTTAATTAACTTCAGTATGAGTCATCCATGTTTACTTCAGAACTAGTTCCTGATAATTATTCTACCCACTTCCCTATTACCAGTGCGATGTAGCGTATGAAGTAGTAATAAAATCTGTGCAGCTTGAAAATAAACCTTCGTAAGGTTCAAAGTCGTGAAGGAAAAAAGAGGCTACTCTACACTACAATACTTGTTCAGAGTTCTTGTTCGTAATCCCGCCCAACAAATGAAAAAAGTAGTCGCACACCAGTGCACGAGCGACGCACACAAGTGTAGTTCCCCGTGCACGGACAGGCGCGGCGCGCACACAATCGCGCGCGGCGAGTTCACGGCATTCATTCTCGTCGGCAGATGGCGACGGCGGATGCAGTAGACGCCCCCGTCGCCCGTCTCGCCCGCCTCAGTCGCGCATAGACAACTCGCCGAGTGCTAGTGTGATCGCATACCGCTCAGCACCATTTTGTGTGTATCGTTTCGAACGGGACATTGTGTGTATGTGCTCCGTGAATAATCGCAAACCACGACCGCCCGAGTGTCCAGTGAACAGTGTTTCACTTTCGACATGCCCGCAGAGGCGTCGATGCGATATCTCGTAGAAACCGCGCCTCCGTCATGAGCGAGTGATCGTCGACGTGAAAAAAAAGTTAACACAGGAAACATGTCTGGGCGGACCGCCGACGCGGATGCGAGCGAAGGGTTCGGGTTCGAAATTCGAAAGCGGTCATGTCATCGCCTCTCGGATTTCGTATAAGTCACCGTCCAATGTCAAAATCGTGCACGTACCGCGAGCGCCGAGCGGCCGGACCGAGCGGAAAATGCAAGCGGTGCTAGTGTGGTGCTGCGCGGCCATGGCGCTGCTGGCGCTGGTGGGCCCGGCAAACGCCTGCTCGTCCTCCATCTCCAAGCGGCCGGCGCGCGTGGCGCGGCCCGCCGCCGGCCGCCCGCCGCAGCCGCAGCCGCAGCCGCGCCTCAACGTCACCTTCCCCACCTTCAAGTGCGAGCCCGATTACTCGGAGTACTACTGCCTGAACGGCGGAGTGTGCTTCACCGTGATCATCTCGGACAGCCCTATCTACAACTGCGAGTGCCGCAGCGGCTTCGTGGGGCAGCGCTGCGAGTTTAAGGACCTGGACAACTCGTACGTGCTGACGAGCCGTCAGCTCATGATGGAGACGGCGTCGATCGCGGGCGGCGCCACTGTGGCCGTGTTCCTGGCCATTCTAGTCTGCTTCGGCGCCTGGGTGCGGCTGCACCGGCGCGGGAAGGCGCCGCCGCAGGAGGAGCGCGGGCACGTGCAGCTGGTGGCCGTGGCCGCGCCGCACGGGCCTTGCTCGCGCCTGGCGCCGCCGCAGCCGCCGCTGCAAGCGCCCCACTAGCCTTGGACTCTGGACGCTGCGTCCCTGTTCATACTGTATCTCGTGTACATATAGATAGATTATGTGTTAAGTTATGTGGAGCGAACGCGAAGATATAAGAAAAATTTATGTGATAATTATTTTACGAAGCTTATAATTTATTTCGAGGAATTTCTTTTGTATATACCGTTCAATCAGCTGGAAGTCCCGAGTTTGATTGCGTGTAAATTTCAGTTCAGTGTCCCCAGTGTTGGTGAAAACCCCTGTGTCGGTCTCATTGTGTCAGATGTGAATGTTGGCCATGTGCCTCACTACTCGCTTCAATTAGAGCTGTTATATGTTGTTTTGTTGTTGGCACTGTATCTGTGGGTACAGAAGAGTGCTGCCCTCTGCTGGTATTTGTAACAAGCCCTTAACTCGGCTAGCTCGAGGCGGGCCCTAGTTGGAAGCGGATCTCGGGCCCTGCACTGAGCTAGTGGAGTCGAGGGTAGGTGTGATTGAGAGGGCTGTATTGTGTGTGCATCCAAAGCATGTCTTTGGCTGCAGCACACACTGCATGTTATTGTTTGTTAATGTAGCAAATGTTATGAGTACTCCGAAGCATGGGGCATGCCCCTGCTGCTAGTAATTGTGAATCAATGTTAATTGTATCATATTCCATTCTACCCAATAGAGTTGCGATGAATTGCAGCGCGTGCGGCGACTCGAGCCCGCACGGTCCATCTGCAGATAGGTTATTTTACTGGTGTCAGTATTATTTTGTAATACGAGTCTTAAGCCGGCAGCTTTACTTTATTTTTTAATTTATACTGTTATCCCGCTGGGATAGTGCTGTATTATATTTGTTTAAAGGCTGATAGTGCCCTTGAAGAAGGCTTCTTGTAAATATAGCCTGTGTAGGTATTTATTAGATATTTATGATGGTTTATTTATTGACTGCTTTATTTAGTTGAAGGATGACGGCCGCACCGCGCCGAGCCTACTGCGGTTGGCGGTTGCATTTTCATCTCACCCTGCTAAGCATGGCCTCGCGTAAATATATTCTCAATAATCTCATTATGAATCTCCATTATGTCTTGTATGTACCTATTATGTAAAAATTGAATAAAATTACATTGGATGGTGAATAAAATCAGTTTCTCAGCAGCCTACAATGTCACCTTCCATTTTGGTGTTCATTTCTGTATTCCTTGTATGGCAGACGTTTTTTGAGTTGATACATGCAGTATGTCAGTAATTTTCATACACCTTAAATAAATTGTAATTGTTGTGAATAAATTAATTATAAAATGTATGTGAACTATTGTCAGATTGTATGCAGCTGATCATACCGTGGGATAACTATTTGTCTATATTTCAAGCTTTCTATTCAGTCCTTGTCGTGTCATTGGATTTCCCTGCGAAGTGGCAATGGAGGCTGTGGGAGGGACCCAAAAAAATAGCAAATTGTCAAAAAGGCTGTGACATGACGGCATTTTTGGGTTGGCCAGGCGGTAGTTTTATCTTAGACCTTTGGCAACCATTTTTAAATGCTATTTCATGTTTTTGACGATTCCTGGTACCGCTTCATCAACCCACAAAGCCTTTGCACAGTTTTTGTAATGTGGAGTCCACTCTGTTCATATATGAGATTGTGTAAATCGACATTCCAAAGTATTTGTAAAATATTACCTACATCGCTAATAATTTTGAAGTATCTGTTAAGACGCTACATTGTTAATTATACAGTTTTCTATTGATCATTTGTTAAAAGAAAATTATATGAAACTAAATCCTTAATTTCTGGTTTTCATTCCGTAAACCCTTGTTGATTTAACCATTATTAACTACCGCACAAAAACAGCATAATTTGGAATGTGCAAACGTAGATAGTTTAGAAATTCCATAAATCTTGCAGGTTTAGAACAAATAATTCAGAACAGATAATAAATATCTAGAGCAAGAACCTTCGTAGTTCGTATCTAACTGGCCTAACATTTGATAATTATTATTATCTTGACCTAGTTTTAGATAAAAATTGAGGAGATTTTTTGTTTAGAATCAGGTATTAAGTTTAGTAGATTGTATTGTGGGGCGAGTTAAATATTTAGATCAAATCGTGTTAACGTTGTGCAACTTTGACTTGGACGGCAGCGAGGCTCACCAAGACCTGGCACGTCATACGACCCACGCGTAACTAAGTTTTCGCAAACTTGTGCAACCACACCTGTTATTTCATTTGCCGTGAGACACGCGCAATTAGCTATTAAAAATAATAATGGTCAAGTTCCGCTCGCCAACGAAAGTGTTAAATTATTCATCGTCGAGTAGCAGCATGGACGGCTTATTTCATGTAGCCGGCCGTTAAAAGGATGAAGAACGCCAAAAGTACGTGACGATTCGGGCGTCATAAAAGGCTTAAGTCAGAGCGTTCCATTCAGCCTTTGGGAGCATAATTTTTATGAATACCCGAGCTGCGCCGGTGCCGCCCGGCCGTGGACCGGTCCGCCACCGGCGTCGCATGCATAGAGTTCATTGAATGAGTGGCCCGTTCGTTTGTTGACATTCCCCGAAAACCTGCCCGGCCGGGAATAGCCGCGATCGCTTACGGCTCCCGATGGACACCGACCGAAATAGATTCCAAAGATTAAAAAGCCCTTTTCGTTACACACTTTCTCGCTGCTCGTTCTACAGGATATGACTAGAACGTGACACCCAAGTACTGCGTACACTCATCTAATATTTCGTAACTTTATCGGTGATATCCATAGATTCCTATATCTATGGTGATATCATTGTGCAATATTGGATGATTATGTAGTTCCTGTCATTGATATGGTAAGGCGCAGGAAGGTGACAATCCTATATGAAATCATCTATTTATCTTTTCGTCAATAAGTTGTACCTACCTATTGTATATCCGGTAAATTTTCTGTAAGGTACGTGTTATAAATCTGATTTCAAATTACGTAAAAATACAAGTTCACTAGTTACATCAGAGTGATAAAGAAATTGCTCTACGTTCAATTTGTGTGCCTTATTTCCCATTCACGTCTTAAACAAGAGACTACAACGAAACTGTTGTAAATAGGCACATTTCCAAGCTTCCGAACAGCGAAAGTACAATAGCTTTCAACTGGCGACCGTCACAAAAACTCTGTGAATGAACACATCGAGTCACAGACATCAGACAATCCAAAGAGACATTGTCACGGCCGTAATTTCTTGATCTACCACGCCTCGCGCTCACTTTGTCTTTTAAACCGTGGAAGAGACGAGTGCTTTGAACCTGAGGGGTCTTGAAATGTGGTCAGGTGTAGAGTTGTCGGCCCACGCGCATAGCTTATGGCCGTCTATGTCCATCGTTACCAATTAACGTTCCTACATGTCCAGCCCACTTGTCATTGCGTCTCGCGAAAATTTGACTTGTATGGCTAAGTGCTTGATGTTTGCACCTCCAAGCTTCTTTGTTTCGGTTAGATTGCCTGAGATTATCTCTATTAGAAGCGCGTGCGTTGGTGATCTTTGAATTGAATGTGTGTGTTGTTCATCCGAGTTCAAGAGTCGTTACTCTCATAGCAGGTACCTAGACTAACTTATTGTTTTAGCGTCTACTGTTTATTAAATTATAAGTTACTTCTACGAATTTCAAGACGTGTAATCATCTCATCTCATCTCATGTCTACTACTAAAACTGACTTTCCAGTAGTTAGGTAACTTAATCCGAAAAAAAAAAACAAACATTCAAATAGCTAAATACTAATAATCTATTCTTAAAGAACTCGTTCAATAACGACAAACGCCATGTATGGCATGGGAAGTAGCAGTTGGATTTATTTTATATATGTACTTACTGACATTTTTAGAAATGCCTACTTAAAAAAAGGCTTGGCAGACTAGCGATTTTACCAGTTTCTTAATTCTATAATTTTAATGTCATTGTGGGAATATTCCGAGACGTAGTGATGGTATACTTGATGTAAGGAGATAACCGAATGGTGGCCGAGAAGGTGTGCGAGATGGGCGGAATACATCATCAAAGTTACGAGTCGTAGATGGGTGGGACCCGGATGGTGGAAGATGACATAAACTCGGGGAGGTTTTGCTGTAGCTACCGGATCCGGACGAAGAGGAGTATTTGTGTACGAGTTCGATGAATGCAGGTAATTTGACAATAGTGGTTTCGTTAAGATGATCAAGTTCAAAATTAACTGTATTTTTTTATATTAGATAGTTTTTACAAGTTAACCGTTTGGTATTTGATAGGGATAACACTTCGTCGGCTTAGAGTGAAAGTTTATATAACGCATTTTACGTGACGGGACTAACAAGTCGTATGCCTGGTGGTAAACTATACGCCCGTCCATGACAGTTGCAGTGCCACTCAGAGATTTAAATCGCAACTGAGGGGCACTGCTACTGCACTTGTCACCCTGGGACATAAGTTGACAAGTCCCACGTGCTTGTAATTTCACTAGCATCCTTATCCTTCAAAACTGTAGTAACTGTAATGCTCACATTACTGCTTGGCGGCAGAAATAGGCGAGGTGGCAGTACTTCCCTGGACAAACTCTTTCACCAAGGAGCTGTACTGCTACTAAATATTATATACTTAATAAATAAAGAGTAACTCGTGCTAGTCGTGTTTACATAAATATTTGAATCCATCCGCCACCATTACTACTTAAACAGCGAAGAAAAAATGAATAACCAGAGACATTTAACAAAATGCTGTCTGTAAAGAATCCTCATTTGGTCAAGGTGATCGTTTGTATAGCGTATTCTATTCTCCTTCTGTATTTAACCTTTTAATTTGCATAATAGATAGAATTTTTAATCTGATTTTTATTTTTATGTCTGCGACTTCGTCTATGAATTTATTCTATACGGTTCAATACGTCATATGCCTCATAGTGCACCACGATGGCAGTGCAACAAGCACCTGCGCACAAGCTCGCGAAGCCCATCTTCCAGTCGAGTGCCGCTTCCTGCGCAGATGGCACGTGCTGTCACTGCGCACTGAGTTCGGCGCATGCGCTACCCCTGCCCATAGATTAGACAACTATGTTAATGAATACATGAAGTGATATATCAACTATTATTTTTATTATTGTTATTTTTCGATACCCTAAGCAGCTAGAGCCGGTGCGGGGATACCACTACTCTTGTATTTGTTTATTTTTAGTATTGCTTACAGTTTACAGCTTACGTCTGCTTAACGAAACTTGATGTCTTGAAAAATATCGCACCATTGGTGTGAGAAGGTCGCATCTGCAAAATGACAACTTTCCGGAGAGAGGCTTAAAGATTCTACGAACGAAATATAGAAAACATAAAAAGTAGTCGACTAACGACAACTTTCATTTACATTTCATTTTTATGACTTTTGACGTTTGCTCACATGTGGCTTTATTACACCAAAGATACGAATTCTAACGCGTCTTTTTAGAGCGACGCAAAGCGCGAGATACTGCTATACTCCCATGGATAATAGCGATGTCTCGCGCTTCTATGTCACTCTCGCGCAAGTCGCGCCCTATTGGGCTAGCAATACTGGACAGCATCAACGCCTCCCAAATGCTTCCGAGGCCCCATCGCCACTACTATCGCCACTCTTCAGCAGCGCTCACTGGGGGGCAGGGTAAGGGTACTTTGGGAAACTTTGGTCTATATGATCAATTTTCCAAGAAAATACTTTTCGAATTCGTTACTTTATGAATTAAGGTGCGATGATTAGGAAATCTTTAAACTTGATAGTTATTAATTAAATTAAAGTCTCTACAATTTTTAAACTAAATTGCTCTATAATTTACCTCTTAACGCGTGCAGGGGTGGGCTGAACTCGTGCGCACGTGTCATTATGCCTCTCGTCCCTGCATTGTCTCTCGAGTGTCATCTATAGATCATCTTTTTGAGAGTCGATCGGTTGATCATGATGTTACTCACCTACTATACCTGCTTACCTTCTTGGTTAATATTTAGTTTAAAAAGTATCCAGGGATGAGCTTACCAGGTGATGCCTGATGATCTGCAAATTGCTATGGTTTTTAATAATACGGTCATAAATTAGGTAATTTAGCTATACTTTAAAGATGCCATTGGTTACCGGTTAGTTTACTTCGGTTACAATCAAATTGTCACTAAGTATTGTCTATAAAAGTGTTTGGTGCAGATTGTAGTGTTATTGTAGATTGGCGATAGCCAAAAGACCCACATTTAGTGGTAGCAGCCCGCTGGTAGAAGGCTTGCTCTACATTTATTAGATAATAATCCAAAATACATGTTACATTTTATAAAAAGTTACAATTATTGTTGTTTAAGTTTTGAATTACTTAATTTTTATAACGTAAATGTTGAAATATGTTTGAACGTGTTTTTAATTTAATTTTTTACTAATTCTTATTTAATAGAGAGAATATTGTCTTCAAATTTATGTGGGACCACTTCTGAGGTATCCTCTTTCCAAAAAAAAGAAGAATCATCAAAATCGGTTCACAAATGCCGCAAATCACAAACATGCATACAAAAAAAACGTACAGTCGAATTGAGAACTCCTCCTTTTTTGAAGTCGGTTAAAAAAACGAAAATCCTTCTGATTCCTGGTATGTCGATAGCTTTCTCAAAGTCAGGCGAATTCTACTTTTAGCTATGTCTAAGAGTGATTACACACGACGAATTATAGCAGCGAAGCAAACGCGATGCAGTAGCGATGCAGTCGTTTATTAAACACGTGCGCGCGATTAAAAGGAGCGCGATACAAACGCGATGCACCTATTAAATTAACTAATTTATTTATATTTATATTT